CACAGCGCCATCTTTCCGGTCTCCCAAGCAACTGTCGATAGTAAGCACCGCGCCTGGCACTTAGGGAAAAGGAAAGTAATCTGGTTTTTCTGCCCTTTTGCTATTAGCACCAATGATTGACACCTCTGGTCACCTAGAGCGTGGAATAGGAGGGCATGATTGGGTGCACCTGAGCCTGGGGGCTGGGCATATAAGGGTGCTCCGCACCGGGGGACCCCCGAGGCTGATTGCATTCGAAACCAGCGGAGAGACCACGGGAGAAGCCAGAGAGCCCAGAAAGAGTGAAGCTTCGCCGCGGGCCTTGCCTCACGACAAAAGATGCAGAAAGATCATTAAAATCCCGAAAAAGCCACCAAGGGTTCCAGGACCCCTCCTTTTCCCGTCCCCCGGATCTTAGAGAACCTGCTCTGTGCCCTGCTGGCGCTACTCCTGGAAACACAGTTGCCCCCACCACCAAAGGCCGGGAGGGGCCTGTCGTCTGCGTCCCCGCAGGCCATAGTGGGGAGGGCAGTTTTGGCCCAGGGCAGGCTGCCCGCCCTGCGTCTCCCCGGGCGACGGACGCACTCCCGCGGCCGTGGGGAGGCTTCGCGCTGGGCGGGGGCCCAGAGCCACGCGTGCCGCAGGCGTCGGGCAGCTCCTCCTCTGTCAGGTGAACGCGGGCGCCTCGCGGCGGCGGGCGCAGGAAGCCCGGCTGGGCGCCCGGGGGCTGGTGGCGCGTGGAGGGGCGGAGTTGTGGGCTCCGGGGGTGTCTTTCCCGCCCCGGGCAGCAGGGCCGCGCGGGCCGGGCCGTCGCGGGGTCTGTCCACCCTCCGCGGGCGGCCGCGATTCTCCTGCCTCCTCCGCTCCGGGCCACCTCGCCACACTCGCTGCACCGCGAAGAGCCGGAGCAGCCACTAGGGCGCCCTTTGGAAGAACTTGTCCTCGGTGCTGCCTGAGAGTTCAAAAGGCCTCTTACAGTGCAGAGCCCGGGGCCAGAATTTGTCGCTTCAGTGAGGGGCTTGGCCGGGGGTAGGAGGTAAAGTTCTGGCCTCAGGAGTTTAAGTTCTTGCTTCAAAGAAGGAGCTTTTCTAATCGGCTGGGAAATCTCTCCTGGCTCCCCCCACCACTGCATTTTGCCCACCAGGAGTTTCTCTTGGCTTGTCTGCATGCCGTTCTCCTCTGGGCAATTAAGAATCCCATGCCTGCCTCCCTGCCAGGGGCTCCCCCTGCCCCTGCCCAGAAAAACATGACACGGACGGGCTGTGGATCAGTACCTGCTGTGATGACAAGGTTCAGAGCCTGGGCTGTGTGGGAGTTAGGCGGGAGAACAGAACTGAAGCCTTCGGGGCCATCATGATAAATAGGTTCAGTGGATCTGGAGCCTGCGCTCTGCCCCACGACATTTTCACACGAATCCTCCTCCTGGGTTGGCTGCTGAATATTGGGGTAACCAGTAAGAGCTCAAGACACACTTCCCTACTGTTCTGGCAAATTCTTCCAGCCTGGGGTGGGGGTTTCTTTCTGAATTTTTTACGTTTTGATTCTGTCTGCTGTGGTTAGTCTCTTCATCATTGAGTGTGATGACTCATGTTTTTTTTTTTTTTGGTTAAAGATTTATTTATTTATGCATACAGAACTGGGGTACAAGCCAGAGGTACAGAGGCGGCGAGAGGCTTCACCAGAGACAGAGTGGGGAGCAGAACAGGCCGACTGATGAAGTACACTGCTGAGGGGAGCAGCGGGAGGGTCAGGAGAGGTGTGCTGTGCCATCTGGGTCAGCTCCGGGGCAGGCTGGGATCGAACTCATGCTGAAGTGGCTTTAACTTCTTAGTGCTGTGCTTAACCCGCTGCGCCACCAGTGGACACACATGGTACAGCAGACCTCTCTTGCCTCCACCACTGCTTCCCTCAGCAGCGTATATTAGTCAATTCATCTGTTTTGCTCCCTATTGTCTCTGGGGAATACTCTCAGCCCTCCCCCCCACCTCTGGCTTACACCCCAGTTCTTGTATGCATAAATTAAATCTTTAAAAATAAAATGAAAGAACTATACTATTTCTACTTCTACTAGAAATAATACCTAACCATTATAGAGAGAGCTGATGATATATACACAGTGCTATTGTCAGTCATCACATGAATTATCTGTTTTGATTCTCATAAAAAAAAAGGCCTAACCTATGGGCATTGTTAATATAGTGAAACTCGAATCAAGAGGCAGTTTGCTGAAAGCCATTTCATAGGTGAGGAACTGAAGAGGAATGGTACATAAATTGTTCCTGAGTCTATGAGAATAATCATTCTAATTTACTTTCATCCTTGATTCATAAAAGACATCTTTGAAAACAATCAAGCGCACAGGGAAGTCCAATTAAGCATTTGGGAATAAATAAATAAAGACTCTATGAGGTTGGATGACTCTGGGTTTGAGTTTTGGGAAACTTATTTAATATTCTCTGTGCTTAGTCTGTTCAGCTTCAAGTGAAAATATTAATACCTAACTCATGGTGCTATTGTGAGGAGTCAGTGACCTAATAAATACTGAGGCCTTCACACAGTGACTGGCAGAGTGTCAGGGTCCCAGTACATAGCAGTCATTCCTCCCAGCACAGAGCTACAAGCCCAACTCCAGTTTCTGGTAGAAACTGGGTATGGAATCTGCAGTTTCCTCATGTCATTGAGGTCTGATTTTACTGTGACAGATTCCTCTCTTTCACTCAGCCATCTCCCATTTCCCCCTCTTGGCAGATCTGAAAAGGCAGAAACATTTGGACTTTACTTCTCATTGGTTGAAACTGTTGCCATGACAGCACTTACAAACATTCTTTCTGGAAACTCTGGGGAACAAATGTTTACAGGCCTCTTCTGGGGTTTCTAAACAAGGATCTGCTCACTCAGGTACGGGCGTTGTTAAGGGTGTTAAGGATGCTCACAAAAAACATTTTTGGTGGTTCTCCCTATTCATTGCCTACATCCCGAACTTGAGACCATACTCCTGACCCTTCCTAAGGATTCTGTCCCTAGGAACGGAAGGAGAGCAAAGCAGCTAGGGAAGGGCAGTAGGAGGGAGAGTTGAGTGATCTGTCCCACAGAAATGTGAGGATAAGACCTGAACTGCTGCCTGAGTCTTGTTTCCTTACCCTTTCTCTCTCCTGTTGGACCACAAGGCTTCCCCAGAAAGATCTTAAGGAGGCCCTTCCTTGGATTAAGTCCCAACCCCAACACTTGCTGGGTGATGGAAGTTATAGATTTGGCTTCCAGTCAATTTATCAGGAAACAATTTGCTGAAAGCCAAATCCTTGAACAACTGAGTCACCAAATGGGCCATTCTGGCCCATTGAAGGCCCAACTTGAAGGATCAATTTGCTGTATGGTTAACTCACCAAAGCCTACCAAATTTACTAATTAAAGCAAAACAAAATTCTGCTATCATCTTTAATTACAGAGTTTACAGGAAATCACTTTGGCCAAACTGGCATGGTTTTCAGGCTGGGGAGAACCAGTTCAAGGGTTAAGGGCCTTCTGACTCCTTCCCTGCCTACTATCTAGTCTCTGGAGGTACAGCCTGGAAAGATTCCTTTTGCCCCATCACTGTTCCCACCCCCAGGCTGCAGCAACATGCTGATTTGAAGATTCATCCCCAATGAACACAAGTCACCATTATTAACGGTATGCTGCTTAAACCAGCCTTGGGCTCATTGCCACAGGCACTGTGTAGTCTTGTTCAGCATCCACCACACTGGGCCGATGACAGGGAACATGGTGTAGTCCTTCTTAAAAGAGGTTTCCAGGAACAGGACCCTCCCTGGTGGCGCAATGGTTTAGGACACAGCACTGCAAGCTGGCCACAGCCACTTCATTACAAGATTGATCCCCGGCTCTGGAGGTGATCTACATGGTACAGCAGACCTCTCCTGTCTCACCTGCTGCTCCCCTCAGCAGTGTACTTTGACCATTTGCCTGTTCTGCTCTCCACTCTGACTCTGGTGAATCCTCTCACCATCCCTGCACCTCTGGCCTGTCCCCTAGTTCTGTATGCATAAATAAATCTTTTTTTTAAAAAAAAGGAGGTTCCCAGACACAAAGTAAGCACATTTTGGACTCCAGGAGTAAACGGGAGACTAGAGCCCCACAACCCTTTGTGACTCCTGGTGGGAGGAGAGCTGTGCAGTTAAGAGCATGAGTTGTGGAGCCAGACACGGTGTGTGAGCTTGGCCTCCTCTTCTCACAGGGTAGCAAATGTGCCTCTCTATAGGATACAGACTCCCAACTGGAGACTGCTGACATAGTAAAACTAGCATAGGTTGACACAGGCTAAGGAAAGGGAATCTTTACAAAAGTGGGGGCAGGCAGCAATGAAAACAAGGCCAAGAACAGCTTCCCATGGCTAGTAACTAAGGGGTTTGGAACATTGGGCCAGAAGGCTGAAGAGAGAGGTAGCTTGCCCTTACCACACAGAGAAGCTGTGAGCTGGCTGCCCTGAGCAGGGGGGTGGTGGTGGAGGGGGTGGGGGGATGGAGACTTCTCCAGGCAGGTGACCTGGTGGGGGGGAAGCCTCCCCAGGGTATGTATTCCCAAGCCTCACTTTTCTCCCCTCAATACGGTCTCCCCCATGTGTGGAACCTCCTGGAAGACAGAAGACATGGAAAGCTCATTGATTCTATCCAGTCAGGTCAGTCTTCTGAGGCAGAGTAGGGAAGAGTAGATTTGGAAAGGCAAATGGAAGGCATCAGTGAACAGAGGAGGGGGGAGGTGTCAATGAAATACAGCACATTAAACCCCTTCAATGGGGAGTTGCTAGTGTGGAAAATAACTCCTCTGGAGAGAGCTCTATTTTCATGCAGCAGCCCTAATCAATACAAGAGATTTATAACTGCTAGAAGGAAGTGATTTCTCATTAATGAAGAGACTTAAGCAGTAGCAGGGAAGAGAGAGAATCTACATGGTAACTTCCTGAGTGTTTTTTGTTTTCTAGGCAAAAGAAAATGAATGCAACTAAGAGAGTCAGAATTACGGAAACAATGAGGAATGAACTTGCTACAAGTCAGATGATAAGAAAGGGCATAGATACCAGCAATGTGACTGAAGTAGCTCTATATATAGTTGAAAGTGTCATCGATTCAGCTGTTACAATGCTGGAAGGTAGTAATCCTGTTGGGTACCTAAAGGATTGTCTCATTATGTAAGGCTACACACACTTCCTGGCAACTAATCGTTGTATACCTTGTTTGCAGAAGCCAAAAATCCAATCAAAAATATCAAGTGGATCACACATGGTGAATTCACAGCAGAAAGAGGCCGTAATGAAATCGAGAGGTTCATTTTGGTAAGCTAGTTGGCCAGTCCAGCTGGGCATAGAGGGTAAAAAAACTAATTTGAAAACAGAATTAGAAATCAGAAACCGTAGGAGATAATATCACAGGCAACCAGAACAAGTAAAAGAGTTTTCTCATCTGGGTTCCAAACTCAAGATGGGACAGTCTTTGAAGGTAGAAAGCACAACCATAGTCCTGTGTTTGTATCATCCTAGCCTATATTTCCCTAGGAAAAGCTGATATTCCCAGTTAAACAATTTCCCCATGTTGGTGTTCTCACGGAGGTCTTGTGACCTAAGATGTTTCTCCAAAGTAAGTTCTCCATTCCTGATTTTGAATGATCATTGTAACAGAGGCTGGGGAGGGATCACAAGTCTTTTTGCTTTAACTGCCCCCACACTAAGATGTCCATGCCTGTCGATTTTTCTTTTTTCCTTTTCCTCCTGTGTTTGATCCTAACCCTAAAAGCTTTGGTGAGAAGGCCTTGGGTTGCTTTGAATAATTGGTAAGGTGGGTAAAGAATGACTTGAAATCTCTTCTCATTGTACTTCCCCAGAAAAGAGGCCATTTGAAATGGGTGGAGGGAAACTCCCCAAGCTCTGGGTGAAGTGTTCTGCTCTCTCTGTGCCTCTGGCCAGTTCATCAAAACTTATAGCCCCACAAGGCACATCCTGAGGTCCTAGGAAAGTAGGATGTGACAATGAGAAAGGTTAGGGTTTTTGGCTCCAGAGCCTCTTTTTCTCACCATACTCATTACAGGGGACTCTAGCACATGGTGAGAGGGGTGACATGAAGCCCTACTTGCTCTTGGGCTGCTATGCTCTGAAGCATGTCTCCAGACATGCTGTACCCAGGGTGTGTCAACGAGAGTGAATTGGGGCACAGAATAAACAGGAAAATACTCTGAAGTCAGCTATCAAGGGTTAGTTTTCCAGCTTGTCTTTATCTCACTATTCATTTAAGTTGCTTTATATTCCATGTATTAGTGACATCATCCGAACACCCAGATCTATTCCCTCAAAGATCACTTACCATTTGACAACGGTTTTGTGCATATGCTTCCAGATAACTATTGATTTTGTGTCCAATCATATGTAATTGGCTGAGCCATTGCTGTAGAGCAGCACGATGACATACAGTTTCCTGGAAGTGAGTATAAGAAGCATTTACGTAAAAACCACAAAACACAAAGATAATACGCACTGCTAAAGCTGCATGAAAGCTGGCTGCCTGCAGTGATAAAAATGGGAGGGAGTTGCATTTAATGTCACATCTAAGGCTGCTTTAGTTCACAGGAGGAGAAAAAAACCCCACTAAGATGCCAGGTTGAAAGGAAGAAAATAGTAAAATAGAGGCTCTGGCGGGTGGAGAGAGCACCGAGCTGCTGCTCAGGTGGGCTGAGGCCCAGTCCCAGTGCTTGTGTTAGACTGTTCTGACCTACCACCAGTTCCTGAAAGCACCCCCAACCCCTGCAAAATCAGGGGCACTGGTAGGTGATCTCAAGGGACTATTTCAATGGCCCCCATCACAAAGTCTGTGATTATGTCTGCTAAACTTGGGGCTGGAAAAGCAAATGGAAGTCTATAGAAAACCTGGGCAGGGTGGACGGGAAGCAGGCTCTAAAAGGCTGGGCTGTCAGATACCTTCATTCATAGCAAATATTGTTCTATGGAGGAAGACAGCCCCCGATTGCAAAGACACTAGAATCGGTGCCCTTCCTGCTGACTGAAACTGCCAGTTACATAGGCCAAAAGATCAGTCTACTCATTTTATAAGTGAGGGCCTGAGATCTTTTATTTTTATTTGGCCACATTTCTTCCTCAGATCACTAGGCCTGTTTGAGTGCCTCACTTCTTTTCCTCTGTGGACCTCCATTTTTATTCAGGCTTTTTATGACCTAGAAATTTCCTGTGCCACAATAGCCAACACCAGGGAGTTTAGTTGAACTGAACTTGTTGAGTACCTGGAGCATTTGAGGTCTCATGGTTAAGAATTAAGGCTGGGTTATGATTTCTGTGGGCCTTGGACACTGGTAAAATTTGTGTTTTCAGGGGAGAAGCTTCTCCAAGGGTGTAGATGAGGGGAGGGGAGTCTGAAGAATCTGGATGATCCTATTCCCTAGTTGTTCTGACTTTATAGACCACTTAATCCTGCAATGAAGAGTCAGCTATTCACTAATAGCTTGTGAATCCAGCCTTATTACTGTCCTGTTATACCTTTGGGCTCCCGGCTACAGTGAGCAGAACACATGTTCTAATAATTTTCTATTGTTTTCCAGTTAACCAAATTTGCCACCCAAGGAAAGTTCTGGAAGGTCAGCATGTATGTGTGTAGTGTATATGCACACATACAACTGAACATGCACCTCTGCATTCAAAGTTCCACACATCTCAAGTGATGTTTGTATCATTCACTTGTTTCATTTTAGCTCTACCTTTTCTTTTCTCTGCTGGTGAAGATAACTGGGTGTTGGCTCTAGTTTGAATCCCAATCAAGAGTGGTAGAAAGAACTTGAGAGGCAGGGCTATAAGCCCCACTATTGTGCATTGCCTTTAATTTAGAGGATTTGAACACAAGCCTGCTCTTCTCTGTGTGCTTTTTCTTTTGTGTGAGACAGACTTGGGAGTATCGGGACCGGTGGGCACACCACACGGAGTTTATACAGAGAGAAGACTGGATTCACAGCTTCCACTACATCTACTGTGTTGAATGGAGCCCTGCAACTGCTCGGAGACCTGTGCCACGAGTCAGTGCCTCTGCTTTCTTTACCATCAAGATCACCAAAAACAAACCTCCGGTAAACTTCCTTTCCCTGACCTGTTCTCTGTGAGATTTCAGTGAGAATGAAGACTTCTCTTGCCATAGACATCAATGATCCCTTTGTGAAACTTGTAACCATCTCACTCAGTGATCTGGATAATTTGCCATAACAGATTCCAGAATTCCTCAATTGCTGCATTTGACTTCTAGAACCTACTCTCCTGAGTTTCCTCCTGTCTCACTATTCCTTTTCACTCTCAACTGGTTTCTCCTCTTGTCAAACTCTTAATGGTGGAGTGCCCCAAAATTAAGGGCATGGACCTCTGCTCTCTACTCATCTTACTTGGTAACCTCACCCAGTGTCCTGGCTTTAAATGCCACCTATAGCTTACCATTCCCAAATTGCTATGCCCAGTTCAGACCTCTGCCAGTTGAATGTTTACTCACTAGCTCACCTACTGTATCCAAAACTGTATCTTCCAATGTTCCTTTCCAAACACACATACACATATCTACAGACTTCCTATCTCAGTTGATGGCCAAAACCCTTGGCCACCATCTTTGACTCTTACATTCTTCATTCAATTCATTAAGAAATCCGGTTGGCCCTACATTCTAAAATGGCCCCCGATTCCAATTTCTTAGCACTCCATTGCTACCACTCTGGTCCAAGACACCATAATCTCTCACCAAGATTATTTCAGTAGACTTAAAACAGGTCTCTCTTCTTCTACCATTGCTCTCCTTATGTCTCGTCAGGAGAGCAGCCAGTCAGTGACCATTTAAAATAACATAGGGGTTATTTTGTCGTTCCTATTTAAAATGTTCCAATATCCTTCTCAAACTTTAGAGGGTATGCAGATGACTTGGGTATCCCGTTAAAAGGAAGATTCCGCTTCAGATGTCTGGGGTGGGGCTTATGATTCTGCGTAACTCACAAGTGCCTTGGTGGTGGTGATGCTGCGGGTCCACACACTGTATAGGCAGTGAGGGTTGACAAGGTCTTGTGAGGCCTGCTTTGTTACTTCTGCTTTCCCAGCATGCCTTCTCTTTCATGGCTCTGCTCCAGTTGCTCTGGTCTTGCTGCTTCTCAGATAATGCAGATATGCTCCCACTTTTTTGCTAGCTGTTCTCTCTGACTGGAACTCTCTCCTCTAGGTATGTGCATGAACTGCTCCCCCACCCCAAGCTTTTCCATTCTTTCTGTAAAACTTCACCATCTTCTGATAGCTGACATAATTTATTATCCCTTTCCTACCAGAATATAGTCTCCACAAAGGCAGGGATTTTGTTCTTGCTTAAAACAAGGCCTGAAAAATAGTAAGCAATACATACTTGAAGGAATGACTCCTTGCAGCCACCAGGAAGATGACTATGAACTATGTTTATAGCTGGTATGAAAGGAGCCAAAAGATCATCCATGAATCCAGGGTGAGAGCCTCAGAGGAGTAGGGTTAGTACCAAGTACATTGCCTAGGTCACAGCAAACTGGAAAGTGTGACTCCTTTGCCTACCCATCTGGCCCCTGTTCATTGGAGGCCTGGTCTGATGCTATGGATTTATATCTGATCGCAGTGAGCCTGCTATGTCCTATCTTCACTTTATCCTAAACTCATATATTCAGAGTTTGGAACCTGGAGCAATCCAAAGAGGTAAAATGTGATTATTGTGTTCAGATGTCCTGCCGTCAGCTGTCTTGTTTGCTAACTTGCTAGGTCAGAGGTCGGAAAGTCAGGCTGGTGGCAGTAAGCAAGACCACGACTACAGAACACAGAGAGAAAGGGCTCAGGAGGTTCTTGTTCTGAATCTCAAATATATTTGGGAAGGAGGATGGGTAGGGGGTCACTGAGACAATATTACAACCTATATTTTTATGCTACTTTAAAAATGTTTCCAAACCTTGTTCCTCCATATTATTTCATTCCTTGCCATTTGTTTTATGCTATTCCTGAGAGGTAAGTAGATACTGTTCAGTAAACTGGAAGAGAGAAAGATGGTATATGGTTTACTCTTATTAACAAGGAACTTCTTTTTTCAATTTTGTGGATATTCTTAAAATTACTGTTGCCAAAAAGATCTTTTTGGGGAACAGAGGTTTGAAAGTGACAAAGAACTAACACCTATGGATTTTCAAATCATAAGATGAATTCTAGAAGCTTGAGTATGTATATGAACAACTAAAGGAATGAAAGGAATTATGAATCGGCATGATTGGTCCAGGCTGACTGGTGTCTTTTTCTCTTTTAGGATTCACCCATTGATGTCTCTTATATTTTTGAGGGTCAATCATTAGTTCAAAGGTAATGAATATTTGATTTATTTTAAAAGGGTGATAAAAAGATAATTACACACTAAGAATCCAGCAGGCCCAGTCACAGACCATTCAAGTAATGATCAGTTTTCTTCTTTGGACCACCTTAGAATGGGAGAAAGTAGGACTCTATTCTTTTCCTAGAAAAAATTTTTTCAGTGTCTCATTTTACAGTGATTAGAAACTTGAGCAAAAGCTGCTGTCAGAACTGGGTGGGAGCAAAGTGGGGCATGTCTAGTGTTTCTATGAAAAACTTAAAAATCACATGGAATTAAATCACGTATAATTTCCTTTATTTGCTTGGCAGCTCTCTTAAAGAATATTTACATATAAAGCCATTATCTTTTTATTGACTGGGTCTAAGGAATAGTAAAGTATAACTAAGAGAGAAGAACCATTGTCTCCTACCCCAAAAGGTTTTTGCTCAGTAGGAATGTAGCAGAGTAAGCAGGGAATCCGTCTTCTATCTAAAGTTTTAGTTCATTTTAAAAGCTTTTGGTGTGTTTGTTTTTTCCTCTGTAGGCCAGGAATGATTCGATTTCGAGAAAACTGGCTGAGGGAAATTGTCGAGTGCAAACATATTTTACTGGAGTCACTTCCTTTCTAATTGAATTGTATCTGATTCTTAAACAATGTTTTAAGCTTTCTAATTAGAATGCATTAAAAATATGATACTGCACACCAAACCACAGAATATTTATTGAATAATAAACTTGTGGCACATAATTCAGCTGTATTTTGTTTTACATTTTTATTTTCCAGTTGGCAACTTCCATCACATTAGTGTGATCACCAAGTTGTTTTCTATTTCCCCTTCACTATCTGCGTCACCCAGAGACTTACAGGTACAGAGCTGAGTTAAGAGAGCTGCTAAAACCCATCTGTAAGACTAAAATGGATGGGTACTTGGCTTCTTGTTGCCCATCTGAGCCTAAGTCTTTAGCCAGCACATCTCTTTATGGGCACAACTGGAAAACTGCAAAATGGCAACAGTTCCACAGTTTCTAATATAACCAGACTGAGGGGCTTTCTTACTCACAGGGCTCACTTCACTTCCTGTGAGTTAAGCCTCACTGTTAAACAATTCTCATTCTGAAACTCTGAAGCCTGCCACAATGCTAGGGTGATCTGAAAGCTGGGGACAATAAAACACAGACAGGATCAATCACCACCCTTATTTCTTGCCTTCTTCCCAGCCTCACACCAGATCATCACTTGTTCTTACCATCCCTGTGAGGCTATCTTGCCCAGTTGCAAAGTTTTAAAATACCAAAGACAAAGTCACCTTACGAATAATTACTTACAGGTACGTCAGGTTACACAGTCATGGAAGCAAGCACTGGCAGGGAACACAACACTAAAGACAGTTGATGTGGTAAGACTGTGGGTAATTTTTCTTTTTTTTAAACTGTAAATTTGTACAATAAAGGAGAAAGGATAGAACATCTTATCAGAGCAACAGGCAAGATAATTCTTCTTAGAGAATAAAAAATATATTTCAAATACAATAGCCCTCCCATTTGACTTATGGCTCAGGTGGATGAACACAGTTTGAAGGAATAACTCTCATAAACTGAAAATAAAATACTTCTAGCCCTTTAATTCTTCCCTCCTCTTTCCCAAAGAATCTGCTACTGAAGCTGCTCTTTAGTAGATCTTTTCCAAATAAATCTTGATGAAAGAAATGGTAAAGTTCTGAAATAAATTAATATATTTTATTTACTCAACAAGCATTTGTTGAATATCTAATCTGTGAAGGAGACAGGAGAATTAAATGAAAATCCACAATATTCATATATCACCAAATTGTCACATTTAAACTACCTTGCTGACAGAAAATCAGAGAACAAACTCCTTCACTCTCAAGGAGCTGGTAACAAAAAAGAACGTTTTCAGAGAACATTTTCAAATGAAGGTTATTCATTTAAATTTTATTACACAGGGAAGTGAGTGGATTAAGACTCACAAATTTGGGGCCTAGTTTTCTTTTAACTTTTGGAAAGAATAGATTTATTAGGTTAGGCAATAGCAATGATAAATGGAAATCCACTTTAAATTTAGGGGGTCATGAGTGTTGTGACATTCCAACTGGCTGTCTAGTTTATTACTTGTGGGCTAAAAGTAGATAATTTCCTGGAACATATGCTAAGTAGTAAAATTCTGATCTATACTTAGAAATATGATGGCCTTATTTGAAATTTTGAGAAAAACTACTTTAAATTACTATAAGGAGGGCATTTTATAATAGCAGAATCAATTTCCCTATCACCCAGGAAATTAATCTGAGGCACATAATAATAATGCAATTCAAAATAATCTTAACACAAATAGTCAAAGTTTTCATTATCCCCTCCCTTTTCACTTTTGTGACTCAGTCAAAACTGAATACAATAAGGGAAAGTAAAAGATCATTATTTCGTAATTCCAGAATTTTCCATTTCTCCCAAACTGAAAAGTCTATTAACCATAAAAAGGTAATAAAGTAAGGGGGTTCTGTACAAAATGAAAAGTAAAACTGAAAGGCAGATAAAAAAAAAACAACTGAAGGGTTTACCAATGTTAACAATGAAATATTATTACATAATGGCAGACTTAAAAAATGTTTAATATTATTTTTGCTTCATCCTTATATGAAACAACTAAAACAATGATTCATTATATTTCTCCCTTTTAAACTCCTGACCATCGTTTACTCCCCCTCATTCCAGTATTCCAATAAAGATCCAGATGGGCCTTCTTTAGATGGAAAGAATCTTACACTGGCACAGCAGAAGTCTTTCCAATATTTTATCTCTGAAAGAACCATTTTAAGTAACCTATTAGGAAATTAAAAGTACTAATGTTTACGTTTTCAATTCAACAAGTCTCTGGGTTGTGGTTGGCTTATTGGTTTGGGGGTAGAGGTAGGGAGCCTAAAACCAAAATAAATTATTTCCAGGGTAGACTATACAGTGTATTATACAAGTCAATTTTCAAATTCCTAATGGCTAATTTTTTTTTAAATCAATGCCTTCACTTTGTTAACACATGTATGTTTCTATCAAGTCCATTTATAACACTTTTAAAACAGAGAAATGATAATTTCCCACAAGTTCAGTTGGGTTGGGGTGGGGTAGGCATCAGGTAGAATTAACAGTAGCACTGCCCCATGGTGTGAGGGTTAAATTTTTCATCTCACTGATACTTTTTCTCAATGCTGCATCTTCCAGAACGGTAGGATTTCCTATATAACTTGGACTTTTAAACCAGAAAGTTATTATGGTCAATCAAAAATTAACCCAAAGAACTTGCTAAAGTTATATCAATAAGCAGCTTTTTATTGAAGGACCGAAAGAATTAAATAGAAGGCACAGTAGCACTGTAAAGCTCTTCCAGATCATGGCCATCTTTTTGAATGTGTATATGGAACCCAGACTTTCTTTTGTTACTAAAAATGTCTGCTGAGCAACCAGAAAACCCTTATTTGTCATCTTTCCCTTTAGTTTTTCTGTATACCATCTCTCGAAAACTGGCCAGAATCTTGTTTTCTCTCTTCCGCCTCTCTTCTTGGTTAAAGGATGCCAGGGCTCTCTTTTCATCCGCGCTGTAGATCTGGTTCTCTTTGCGCAGCCGCACAGCTTCCATTCGGCGATGCCTGGGGATAATTTTGGTTTTGGCTTAATTTCTCAGCAGTTATCGTCATAGCACTTACTCACTAATCCTTTCTTAACACAAAGTGGTCTATTTAAAAAGTTTTCAAGTAGAAACTGCTTTGTAAAAGGTTAGATTTTCAAGATTTTCATTTCCTTTGGTTCATTTCTAGTAGTCCGATAATGATCTCTGCTTTCTGTCAATATAGTGAATGTCATCTGGCTATTCTTACCCCTCTAGTCTGGCATACTAATTTTAATACCATCTTACTAAGTATCATGAAAAACTCTGCTATGATTTTGACTGGAACTGCACTGAATCTATAGATCATTTTGGTAATAACTGATAACTTTTCAATAATGCCTTCCCATTCATGAAGATGGTATCTGCTTATTTAGCTCTTCTTTGCTGTCTCTTAATAATATTTTATAGTTTTCCCTGTAGAAGCCTTAGGCATTTTTTGGGCAAAGATTTAGTCTTAAGTCCTTTATCAACTCTGCTATGATCATAAATCTTTTTTTTTTAAATCACGTGAGTGTTATTTTCTTTTAAAGATTTATTTACTTTTATGCATATAGAACTGGGGTGCAAGCCAGAGGCCTACAGGCGCTGAGAGTATTAGCCAGAAGTAGAGTGGAGAGCAGAAGAGGCAGACTGATGAAGTACACTGCTGAGGGGAGCAACAGGCAGATCAGGAGAGGTCTGCCACACCGTGTGGATCAGCTCTGGGGTGGGGGATTGAATTCACCCTGAGGTGGCTGTGTCTAGCTTGCAGTGCTACGTCCTTACCTGTTGCACCAACAGGGAGGCCCAATATTTTCTTTTATTTAATTACTAATTATAGGTTGTTTGCTGCTAATAGTAGAAATGCAATTGGAGTTTGTTTAACCTTATATCCAAGCATTTGTTAAACCCTATCACTTATGAATCTTCTGAAGATTCTTTATTTTCTATGTAATCATATTTACAAAAACTGATCGATCTCTCTTCTAATCCTTATATCTCTAATTTATTTTTCCTGTGCTAGTTCTCTGATATAATATTTTCAAAAGTTAGAATTCCAAGATTTTGGAGGTGCTTCTTCAAATATTTGCCTTCAATTTCATTTAAAGATATTTACCTACTTTTAAAGATTTAAGAAGTCCAGAACTCAGTTTGAACTTGTTACTGGAATCTATTAACTCACTCTCCTCATTCCTATTCCTTCTAGTTTATTGCTTTCTTTTCTCTAATTTTACATTCATTTCCCCATCCTGACTTTGATGTCTATCACATTCCTTTTCTGTCTTCATCTCAGAGTCTCAAAGAACTGCAGGCAGACTCAGAACCAGGAAATACTGTCTTTTGAAAATCTACCCAAATGTCACACTCCTCCTGGAGCAGTAGTAATAGCTGAACTAAACTATCTCTCCAGAAGATGAACTATTTGTACCAAAATATAAACTAGGAAAGGACAATTGGAAAGATCAATTCTTTGAGGTTGGAGTCATAGCTGACTTTGAGGCTAAATGGAATACATACTTCGAATTTTATATAGCCCCATTTTTACCAATAAAACCAAGAATGATCACTTAATGAAAATCAATCATCAAAATATAATTCTGGTAGTGAGAAGGAAATGATCTAATCATGGAAACTGACCTCAGTGACAAGTACATACCTGCTACCACTCATTACATAACCTGAGCATTCAAATGATGCAATTTCTTCACTTGTCAATCCAATTTCACCTCTTCGTGGGATACGTTTACCAGCTTTTACATATTCAGCCATAGCTGCACCTTCACCGGGTAGCAGAGCATGGCCATAGCTATGAAGAAAAGCAGAATTCAGAAAAGGTTCTTTATAAAAATCTCATAATCCGAAGACAGCACAAAATAAAACTTTTTTCTCAGCAAACAGCTGAAAAAACAGTTGCTGGGAAGTTCACTGTGAATTAATTAGTGCACACTGTATTGTGACCTTTATAACTAATCTAGTAATACAGAAAAACTATGGAGGAACAAAAGAAATGACATTAGTGAATACAGATTAATGGTTTACAAGTATGAACAATTTATTCCTATAGGTACTGACTCACACTTCTGCCTCCAGTCAATACCCTTTTCTTTTCCCCTTAAAAAAAGAAATAATATACCTTAATTAGCATACTTTTAGACTTATAACCATTAAAAATGCCGTGTAGTAGGAATTATCTATTTTTCTTAAGATATGTTTATTTATGCACACAAGAACTGGGGCACAGAGCAGTAGTGCAGGGGGTGAAAGGCTTCACCGGAGACAGAGCAGGCAGAGGAACTCAGAGCCACTGAAATACACTGCCTAGTGGAGCAATGGGTGGGCCTGGAGAGGTCTGCTGCACCATGTGGTCACTTCCCCGGCTAGGCACTGGACATGCTGCAGTGGCCACGGACAACCTGACAGTGCAGTGCCTTAACCCACTGTACCACCAGGGAGAGCACAATAATTATCTATTAAGTTTCATTCAGGGAGACTTTAAAAATTACTAATCTTTCATTCAATTCGTTGAATGCATCTTAAATACCTATTAAACTCAAAGCTTTTATACCAAAAATAGTTTCTGTTCTTGTGGAGTTTACATATTAATAAGGATATAACTGCAATACAATGTATATAGTATATATAATGTGCTGCACAAAATAGAAATGCTGTGATGACTAAAGGATTGAAGAGGGGCAGAAGTCATCTTCTTATGGATAGAAAATACTGGGAACCTGCACATACCCACTTTCTTTGATAGGGGCTTTGAAGGATGATAAGGATTTTAACAGCAAGAAACTGGGGGTAGTAAAGATAACAGCTGGGAAAAGAAGGCAAGGCATGCTGGGAGAGGTAAGCTGAATGAGGCACAATAGCAGGGAAGTGCACAATAAACACGGGGTAGGGTTATTAGTTCAGCTCAGCTGGAAACTGGGGTGCAAATAAATAAGGGAGTGGAGGGAGGTACATTTAGAAAGACTATAGTTTGAGAAGGTCATTTAGATACTCTAAATATGCTGTTACTCACTTCAAAGGTTTATCATCTTGAGAGGCAAGTGTTTTTGGAGCCTCTGGGCCAATTAAATCTGAGGGTTCTTCAGGTTCTGCATGAAAGATGTTCAGAAACATAGTCACATTTTGACTTATCAGTTGTTTTATTTGTTCTGAGTCAGTCTACCAGAACTTACTTGATCTATCCTTCCAGGGATTCTCTAGAAACTCTTCTTGGGACTCTTTAGAGCTTGAATCACTGGAGTCTTTTCTGCTCTTTTTAGATTTCTTTTTCTTATATTTCTTCCTGAAATGATTATAATTCAATACAATTGACTTTATATTCCTAGGTTTAAGGACATTATTATTTTTTTCAAGGCAATGAAAAACTTAATATGATTTGAACTCTCAGCTTATTTAAACTTTTGTTAGAGAAGAATTTTAATGAAAAAATGTTACTTATTTAACCAAATCATGTTTCATTATACCAAAAGATTCCTAAAAGAAATATAGTTCTCATGTTGTAGAAAGAGAGCAGAAATAAAGCAGTTAAAAAAATGAGTTCTAATTCTTAAGTTGAACATCAATAGTTTTAAGTGTAATGGATTAAATACATCAAATATATTTTAAACCTTGGGTTCATAATGATACTAAAACACCCAGCTCATTATTTTCAAAACAACTAAAACAAACAAACAAAAATTTCAGTTGTCCTGCCCTTTCAATACAAATGGTACTTCAGGGTAACCAAATACTTGATGAGGGTAGGTTCCTTTCATAGAATTATTCTATCAATAATTGAAGAAAGCCAGCCAAAACGATCCTACCGCTATTTCACATTCCCTAGTAAAATGAGGGACCTGAGCAATAACCATCAGTGGATGTTAATATGACAAGAGACAACCAGATATTATCTGCCTCCTGCTACACTGCACAGAACAGCCTAAGTATTCCTGCTGAAAACTAAAACCCAGACTTGGTCAAGACTGTAAGCTATAGGAAATAAAAAAGCACAAATATGTCAAAAGTACACCATAAGAATAAAGTCAGCAGAATACATAGTACAGGGAAACTCTAGTTTCTTCAACAAACTGCAGGAACAACAAGGGAAGGGGAACCTATTGACTTAAGGTGTCAGAGACTCATTAACCAACTGAAATTTATGGAATTTATTTGGATCCTGATTTGAATAAGCTGTTTATAAAAAAATTGCTGAGAATTGAGGAATGACTTAAATATTTTAGGTATGATAACAGAACTGTGGTTATAATTTTATAAAAGAATGAATTTTCTTAGAAAAACATGATGGTATATGCATGGAGTGATATCTGGGGTTGGTTCAAAATAATGGGAGGGTGGGCAATGGAGACTGCCTATGAGTTGGTAACTGTTCCAGCTAACAGAGGATCATTGTATCTTAATTATATATATATATATATATATATATAATTTTTGAACTTTTCCAAAATAAAAATGTGAGAAAAAAGACTAACGATCTGCGTTTCTTCTTCTTTTCCTTTTTCTTGGCTTTCTTAGCTCTCCTTTTGGTGTTATCATCATCTATAAAATAAAGCACATTATAAAAAAAATTAAACCTAATTTGAATAGATAAATATCCGATTGCTGTCCTTTTTGTTGCTACAAAGAAATTAATTCATTCAAACATTTACAGCAACTGTTCAGGAAATGTGTTAGGCACTAGGGACAGACATTGGATTCACGGTAATATTTGGTGATACAGGGTATCATTATCAATCGTATTGCCCTAGATAACAGTATTGTGATTAAGTAGGAATATGCTTCATTCTGAGCTGTATACAGGAAGTTAGGGTGCAGTGTGATATCTTACATTGACTGTTTAGCAAAACCCCACGTTTGGAGCACATATGTCAAACTACTACCTTAACATTCAGGTGGTAAGCGTATGGTATTAATTATATTACTCCCTTTAGTGTTTTGAGTGTTTGAATATTTTGAGGATGAAGGAGGAAAACCTCCATGTGTGTGTGTGTGTGGGGGGGGCTGGTGCTTCCCAGGAGCTCAGCTTGATGGAGCAGACGGCTAAGGAGAGAAGGAGGCTCTGGAGCGCAGAGGCAGTGCAGGGTGCTCTGGGCGCACACAGGGGTCTCGATCCCAGGCTGACTTGGGAGTGTGGGTGAACGTTGACCAGGAAACTCATTTTCAAAATGAGTTTTGTCACTAAAGTAATGCAGGCCCATCGTCAAAATGGGCAAGCCGAGCCACACGCAAGCGCTGCCTGGCACTGAAGCAGACAGACTCTGTTCTGAGCAACAGAAACATAGAAAACTAGGACAGAAAGTGGTTCTCAGGCCAGAGAAGATGCCGCCAGAGACCGACAGGATGTATGAGAGTAAAGGGATGGACCAAGGTCTGGACTGGACCCTGAAGTTATGAGAGGTACTGAAGGATTTTGAGGGCGGACTGACATGCTCAGATTTGGGTGCGAAGAAAGTTGAGTCTCCTAGGAGGAGACCAGGCAAGCCAGGAAAACCAGGTGATGTCAAAGTAAGGGGCACCTTTGTGAGCTGTGTTCCCATAGGAGGCACCCTGTCAATCATCAGCCAGCAGAAGGCACGAAAAGGTGGCTTCAGAGATGTACCACTCCATGGGGGGTGTGGTCCTTAAATCAGCCTCCAGTCTAAAGGCAGTCCTTTACATTCTGATTAGAAGTCACATGAGGCTGACCACTGAGGATACCCACAGAGCCTTCCCTGGGCTGATGCCGCCTTGGACGGCCTGATTTGGCACCACGCATTTTGCAGTGCAGCCCTGACTTGGTTTGGTGTCACCTGCTTTATACAGAACAGACACAACCCATCTGGAGCCATGTGGCTGAGGTCTGACTTCACACTGTGTGGCCTTAAGTGTGGTGCTCAGAAGCTGCCCCCATGCCTGAGATGCCTCCTATACTCACTGTGTGGGGTCAACAGGCACCAGGAATAGAAAGCACCTAGCAGGACCCACCACAGGGTTTCAGAAAGCTCGGCTGCCACTGTCTTAAAGCCTTCTTTTAAACTAAGTTTAAGAAGGACCCATGGGCTGAAGCACTGCTTGCAGAATGTTGGCCTTCTTACCACTGGAGTCTGTTTCAGAATCAGAGTCACTGTCACTATCATCAGAATACTTCTTGTGTTTTCTTTTAGATGCTTTTTTCTTTCTTCTCTTCTTGGACCTTTCTTTTGAGCGACTAGACTTCTTCTTCTTCTTCTTCTTTTCTTCTACATAAAATACAAATAATGACTTCTAACAAAGTATTTCTGAGTATCACATTTATTGTATTTGTATTTTGAAAATTAAAAATTCAATGAGTAAAAGTAAAGTCCAATGTTTAACTATAAACTTTTAAACTTCTTTAAAAAAAAAAAGGCTCTGTATTTTAAAACTACCTTCTGAAGTAGAAGCTGAAGTAGTACTTTTCTTTGGTTCTTCATCCTCTACTGGTGTATGTTCATCAGAGCTGAATTTAAAGAAAGTGGTAGTAAGAATCAAGAAAGTGATGAAATGTGAACCACTGAGTATAAAAATATAGGCTTAAAATTTTTAGTAACAAATTGATTGTCCAAGAACCATTAAAAACAAACAGTGGCCTGCTCCGTAAGAAGACTGTCCAAGGGTCTACCACCCCCTAATAATATGATAATCAAGTGTGTGGTTACTGCTTTAGAATTTACAAAGGGCTACTGTGTCATTGTGATTTAGCATAACAGATATTTGGTCTTCATCTCTACTTTTGGCAGAACTAAAAACTATAGAATTTCTGAAGTAATGAGAGCTTTGCTAATGAGACAACATTTTGAAAGTGCATAAGGTTGGGAGCTGCTTGCCAGTGGAGTCAAACTTTGAGTAGAGGGTTGGACTTTCAGTCCCACCTCTACTGAGCACACACATACCTCCTCTACTGAGCACACACATACCTCCTCTACTGAGCACACACATACCTCCAGGGAGGGAAAAGGCGCTGGAGGCTGACAGGGCCATAATTAATCATGCATGCCTAGGAAATGAAGCCTCCATAAAAATGTAAGAGGACAGGGTTCTGATAGTGCCAGGCTGGTGATGAATGGGAGTGCAGGGAGCTGGGAGAGAGGTGCTCACATAATACAGAAACTATGTGCCACTTCCACATATCTTGCTCTGTGCATTTCTTCCATCAGGCTGTTCCTAAATTATATCTTTCTAATGAATAAATCCAGTAAGTAAAATGTTTCTCTGAGTTCTGTGAGCTGTTCTAATAAATTAATCCCACCTTGGGTGGGGACTGTGGAACAGGCAGTTGGTAAGAGGCACAGGTAACAATATGGGCTTGTCACTGGTATCTGAAGTCTAAGGTTGGGATCATGGGAATCTTCAGTCTGTAGTCAATTGGTCAAAAGCACAAATAATATGTTGGGCTTTCAACTAGCTTCTGAAGTAGAGGGAGTTCTTGGGAGACTGAGCCCTTTACCTGTAAAATCTGATGCTGTTTCCAGTAGGTAGAGTCAGAAATGAATTAAATTCTCCAACATGCAATTGCTTGTTGGTATGGGGAAATGTCCACACATACCTACTGTGGAAGTGTATTCAGGAACTGTTTCAGTTATTCAAACTGGAAGTAGCATGTAAGCTTTACATTTTCAGAAGAACCCACAGGGCAAATGTAGGGAGGGGGAAGTATAATGAAAGATGAGAGAAGATGGAGATGAGAATGCTGAGGGAGGGCTCCTCACTCTATTTGATGGGCTGACAGACATGTGGTAGATCAGGGGATGTTCTGTCTCCCAGAGCAAGGAGAACCTACTACCTATAAGATTTTATCTGTTGTAGAGAATTCTGAAAAGTGAGTATTATTAAAAATCTGTAATAGTTTTAAGAAGGGAATTCTTATATCAGAAAACCTTTTCCTCTGAAGATCACATCTGGAATAATTTTGGTATTGCCCATAAAATTGTTTTCAACTACAATTATTTGAGCTCAGATTTTTTGAGCATTTTCCAAAGAAAATTTCTTCATCAAGCTCTCAGCTGTTAGGCAGAGCCAGATCAACACGCCATCATTCAAACAGAGGATTTGGACATTTTTGGGCTTCCCTGTATGCCAAGCACTGTTCTAGGCATCATGTACTCATTCTGCACAATGACTCTTTTGGGAGAGCGGTTAACTGAGGTTCAGCAGAGAGGTCATGTGCCACACAGTAGGGGAGCTGAGCCTCAGAGGGGCCCAGGGAAGCTCCACAGCATTCAGCCCTGTGGCCAAAAACAGAGAGAAACTCCTGCCACCTTGCATACACCCACTGTTCCAGCTGGGATACCAAACAGCATGGGGTGCAAGGCCCAAGCTTGGGGCTTGGTCTGCTCATGTGCATAAATAATGGTGGGTTGCTCATAGCAGCTCTGCATGCCTACCTGCTCTGGGCTTGCCCACCACAGAGAAGAGCCAGGTGGCTGCCACGGCACCCACTAGGTCACCATGCAAGTCGCTTCTGTGCCCTGTGTCACCACCCTCTCCCCACCCTCTGCAGATGCTCATAAGAACAAATTTCTGGTAGTAATGTTCTATTACTCTGGCAGAAATGGCAAGTATAACTTTCAAACATATTATCTCAAATTAAGCTAAAGTAGACAAAAAGGGGAGAGGGGAAGTGATCAAGAGAAAAGAAATAAAGAAACAGAAGCTTTAATTTTCCAGATACTATTGGATACAGGGAAAATAAAACTATGCAGGCATATTAATTAAAAAATGTCCTTTGTAGCACTAATATTTGGTATTGGGTTCACTGAGAAGTAATAATTCAAAACTACAGAAATATATTAAATATGTCGGGTTTATAGTATACTAATTATGTATGTCCCATGTTTTAAAAATTTAAAGGATAAATCACGAGAAAGTAGACTCAGAAACAGGAAAGAAGAGACTTATGAATAACACCAAAGAGAAAAGAAAATAGAAAAACATTAGACATTTAAACAGTATTGGATATAGGAAAATTACCTAAACAAAACCATACTATTTCTATTTCACATTAATTAAAAAAAAAATCCCTTGGTGATGCTAACATCTGACATGCAAAGTCATATAATATAAATATATTTGTTTTTATCCCAGAACCTGTCTATGATAGGAAATTAGCACACCATGAATTACAACTTAAAGAGAATTAGCACTTCAGAGCTAATACCCACTAGCAACATGTCTTCATTCTTAGGTATGTACCATGTCTTTAAAACTTACAGAGTGAAAGAGCATAAATGACAAAGAAAAAAATGTGAGTTGTAAAGTTTTTTACTTTACAAAAAATTTTGACATTCAACATGTGGATTGAAACAAATTTAAAAAATACATTCATTAGTCACTTACTCTGGTTCTGGGTTCTTTGGAGAAAGTCCCCATACTTCAGGAGCTCCCAATTCTCCAATCCTCTCTCTCTCACTTAATCTCCTAGAAGAGAAGGGCATGCCAATTACAATTCCATGAATAAATTCTGTTTTCTTAAATGCATGACATTTTAAACTTTAGCAAAAACTTGGCCGACATGTAAATACAACACTTGCGAACTGATGTTCTGCTCCTTCCCTCAAATGGTGCAGACTCCAGACAGCCCGAGCAGCTGGCCAGAAATGGCGGGAGCCAGCGAGTGCACCCCCTTCTGCTGTCATGACCTAGCTCCTAATGCTCATGTCACCTTCTGCCATAGGTGACAGCAGCAGTTTTACATTTATGTATAAATTTGAAATAACATTTATGTAAACATATTTCTGAAAGTAAGGTCTCGAGTCTTGATTTGATCAAGAATTTGGTTTTTCAGAAACCCAGGATTTAATATCGAAAATAAAAATGAAGGACTAGAAGTAGAAAATAAAGGGATCCCTGAGAATGAAAGAAAAAATAATAACAAAAACGATTCAACAAGGTACAGAGTTTGTTTTGCCTTTTGCTTCTTTTTGGAAAAGAATTACATTCTCTATCTACTCTTGGAAGATAGTTGTTTTGTGGTTTTTTCCTTCTAAGTTCCTGCTACTATTAAAAAAAGAACTAAGGCTCAGTTCTTCAAAGTTTAGCTGCCCGTGACTCCATTTGTTAAAAAAAAAAAAAAAAACTTACAAAATAAGTATAATTGGTTTGATTGCTTGGATAATTTTTTTTTTACTTCTTTATTTCTTTATTTAGGGGAAAATGTATTATAGTTATGCAGCATCAGAATCAGGTTTCCCAGCCCTCCTTGGTGGTGCAACAGGTTAGGATGCAGCACTGCAAACTAGCTGCAGCTGCTTCAGTGCGAATTTTTGATCTCAGGCCCTGGAGGTGACTACATGGCATGGCAGAACTCTCCTGGCCCACCTGCTGCTCCCCTCAGCAGTGGACTTCGTAGATCTGCCTGTTCTGCTCCCCACTCTGTCTCTGGTGAAGCCTCTCACTGCCCCTGCACCTCTGGCTTATACCCCAGCTCTGTATGAATAAGTAAATCTTCAAAAAAAAATTGGGTTTCCCACTTGAAACAGACACTATGGCAGGGGAATGACTTATAAGCAGACTTGGAACACATGTCCTGGGGGAGGCATAATAGTACATGAGACCATACAGTCAGTTTCTCGTTTCTGTTGTTACTTGGCTTTCTCTGTACTCTTAAGATAAAGTTATTTATCTTCTAAATGTACAAATTTCTTTTTTTAAAAAATTATTTATTTATACATACAGAACTGGGGTATAGGCTAGAGGTGCAGGGGCAGTGAGAGGATTCGCCAGAGACAAAATGGGGAGCAGAACAGGCAGATCTACGAAGTACACTGCTGAGGGGAGCAGCGGATGAGACAGGAGAGGTCTGCACCATGTGGGTCACCTCCCTGAATGGGGATCCAACTTATGCTGCTATGACTGCAGCTAGCTTTGTAGTGCTGCGCTTTAATGTGTTGTGCCACCAGGGAGGCCCCAATATGGACTGTTCTGACAGATTCTCTGCCCATGCACCAAATACTAATAGCAATTACTGAAGGATCATTTATTATGTTACGGACACTAAATCATTACAACACTAAAAACCTTTTTGTTAATTTTATCCCCTTTCACATGGTAAAGAAGGAAGCAAAGAGAGAAGATCACAAGTCTACAAGTAGCAAAGCACTTCTTAGGAAGTTGGATTCTGGAGTCAGCCCTCCATCACTATGCTTTATGACCTTCCGCTGCTGAAAGGAAAATAATCTTGAAGTCACCTCCCACCTGTTTGAAACTTAACCTAACCCCTCCGTGCCTATAGTTTTAAATTTCTTGTTCTTTTTTTAAATTCATAGTGCATGTAAAAGCACTTATTACTGTGCCTAGCATATAGTTTAATACTTAATAAACACTAGCTATCAAGACCTACACGATTGGACGGAAAAAAGACTTTTAGTGATGCATACTCTACTATGAACAAATGTTGATATGTAAATCTGTACACTTGAAGTCTGTGTAACAAACCAACATACTTCAATTAAAAAACAGATATACCTGGCCCTCCCTTGTGGCGCAGCGGGTTAAAGCACAGCACTAAGAAGCTCAAGCCAATTCAACATGAGTTCGATCCCCGCCTGCCCCGGAGGAGATCCACATGGCGCGGCAGACCTCTCCTGACCCGCCCGCTGCTCCCCTCAGCAGTGTACTTCCTCCATCTGCCTGTTCTGCTCCCCACTCTGTTCCTGGTGAATCCTCTCACCCTCCACATCTCTGGCCTGTACCCCAGTTCTGTATGAATAAATAAATCTTTTAAAAAAAAAAACAGATATACCAGTATTTATAACCATTTTTCTTTCTCAAACTATCCATTTTTTCACTCTAATACTCATTATAAACCTGATCTCATTCTGACCTCATGGTAAAGATTGAGTTAATTTGTATCCATATGTAAAAGAATGAAATTACACCACTATTTCACACCATCCACAAACATTAACTCAAAATATGTTAAAGACTTGGATGTTGGGCCCTCAGTGCTGGCACACGGGGTTAGAGCGCAGCATTATGAGATTGTGCACAGCCACTGCGCACAAGTTCGATGCCCATCAGGGAGGTAATCCACATGGTGAGGCAGACCTCTCCTGTATGACCCGCTGCTTCTTCCCCTCAGCAGTGTATTTCAGTGGCTCCGACTATTCTGTTCCCCTGTCTCTGGCCGGTCTGCTCACTCACTGTACCTGTGGCCTGTACCCCAGTTCTTGTGTGCATAAGTAAATATTCTTTAAAAAGTCTTGGATGTTAAGACCCAACACCATAAAATATAATACACAGAAGAAAACAGACAAAATACTACATGACATAAGTTTTAGGGATGTCTTTGGGGTTTCAACTGTAATAGCAAGGCAGAAATGAGACTTTGCCAAGCTAAAAAGCTTCTAGAAGCACAGTGAAATAAAATATCATTAAAATGAAAAGACACTCTAGTGAATGTGAGAACATATCTGCACATCATATACCTTAAAAGAAACTAGCATCCAAAATCGACAAAGAATTAAAGAGAAAAATATCAGATCAATAATGTTCCCTCACCTAGTTTAACCAGTGCTATTATTAAAAGGTATTGACACACATATAAAGAACTATATAAATAAAATTGACATTAGCAAAAAGATTGAGTCCATTTAATAAGACCTGTCTCACCTTAGCCTAATTTACAGTTTAGCAGATCATGTTTCCTACTTTTATTCAATCATCATCTCAGAGGTTATCTCCCATCCAACTTAAACCTTTAGTCTCAAACCTTCCCTTCCTGCTACATTTACTTAACCTGTTATGCCAAACCTGTCTAATTATCCAACAATGACTGCGCCCCTACATGCTAGGCACTGAGAATTTTGTGATCAACAGGGATTCTTTTTCCATGAGCTAACTCACAGTAGTGGGAGAAAACATGCTCACGAATGATAACGACAAAATCATGTAAATATTCTATTTCCGGGCTCTTGGCCATGCCCACTACAAAGCCAGGAATCAGAAAGGTAGCAGGAGAGTAGGACACTGTATAAAGGAGCCTGAGGATGACTGAAAACCTAGCGCAAGAAAAAGGGCAATAAGGTGTTATGGATGACTTGAAGGGACAAACATGGGTGCAAGGCAGGTGGAGAGAGTGAAATGTGAATAGTCAGAATGAGATGAATGATAAAATCAGACCCCGAAGGCAAGTGGACTCGTGCAAGGGAAAGTGCATTAGTTTCACTCACTTCTGCCGCAGGCTCTCTTCCCTCTCCTTGTCCAGGAGGCTAGGCCAAGGTTTGTCGCTCCCATAGGGGCGCGAATAGCCGCCATAATAGGCAGACGAGGCAGAAGCAAATGGGGCACTCCGCTGTATTGAGGACCGCTCTCGAGAGCGCGACCGCGAGCGAGATCTGTAGGACTGGTTTCGGGAGCCTTGGCTGAGGCCACTCAGCTGATGGCTGAGGCCATTCCGGTCCCCGGACCGAGAGCAAGAGTGCGAGCGAGAGCGGCGGCCCCGCGGAGAGCGGGCGGACTTGCTGGGTTTAGGGCTCCTGGACGAACTACGTCGCTTTCCCCCAAAGCCCGAGGCCTCCCCCTCCGGGCTGCGCGAGCCAGACACCGGAGCCATCTCAGCCGCGGGGTCCACCAAGCCACGGGAGAAGGGGGCGCTCTCCCGAGCCTGGCAAGATCTCCGTTGCCTTGGCTCCCAGAACCTAGGGCCGCGCCACCACCCGAACCAGAAAAAAAAAAAAAAGCCTTGGAAACACTTCCGGGTACGTCTGCAAATCTCTTCCCCAAGCCTAGGCGGTCCTCTTGCCAATGAGAAGGGATGTGTGTGCTGTTATAAAGCCGATAGGGCAACCGAGTTCACGCATCCTTTCAGTTCCGAGTGAGGCTGCTCAAATCTAAACTGGATTAGAGGTTGAGTTCTTTGTTCAGCCTTGAATAGACTAAGAGGACTACGGACCTCTGACGGTAGAACACTTCACTGAACGGCTGTCGGAACAAGAGTCCTGTCACTTTATAATATGGGCTTACGTGCGAATATGTATATATACATATGCATACACCAAATTATATATTAATGTATTATACGGACCATTATATGTGTGCTTCTCTTTTCCACTATTAAGCAAAATAAGGAGGGTTTATCGAAACTGTAAGCTATGATGTCTAAATCCCGTATTTGTTAAAGGACACCCATTCTGTGTTAATGAGTTGAACCTCATAAACTCCATTTATGTTTTTAGCCAAGAGAAAAACTGTGTATTTCTTCCTCAGCCATTCATCTCTGTCAACGGGCACTAGCAATAGGAATTTTTAATCACTTTAGTGTTCAACTCTTTAAACTAGTTCTTTCATATAAGTCAGCAGTGCATAGTTAATGGTTATTATTTCTATTCACGTTATATTTTTATATGAAAACCTTCAAACTAATTCTATCGAGTTTAATTTAAATTTTTTAAAGATTTATTTATTTATTCATACAGTACAGGCCAGAGATGCGGAGGGTGAGAGGATTCACCAGGAATAGAGTGGGGAGCAGAACAGGCAGATGGACAAAGTACACTGCTGAGGGGAGCAGTGGGCGGGCCAGGAGAGGTCTGCCACGCTATGTGGATCACTTCTGGGGCAGGTGGGGATCGAACTCATGCGGAAGTGGCTTAAGCTTCCCAGTGCAGTGCTTTAACCCTCTGCACCACCACGGAGGGCCTAATTTAAAATGTTTTTTATTTATTCATTTTTAAAGATATATTTATTTATGCATACAGAACTGGGGTACAGGCCAGAGGTGCAGGAGTGGTGAGAGGATTCACCAGAGGCAGAGTGGGGAGCAGAACAGGCAGATGCACGAAGCACACTGCTGAGGGGAGTGATGGGCAGGTCAGGAGAGGTCTGCCGCGCCTTGTGGGTCACCTCCCTGGCCAGGGATTGAGCTCGGGGTGAAGCCGCTGCGGAGAGCTTCATGGACTTGTGCTTTAACCCCGTGCGCCATCAGGGAGGGCCTGAGTTTAATTTTTAAAGACACAATGAGTTTGCCATGGAAATCCTGAACCCAATCTACGAGTAACTAGATGGCCTCTAGGCTTTTCCTCTTAAGTTAACAGAGCATGAAAACTATTGGCATTAATTAGTGGAAATTTTTTTTTTTTGGGCTTTAAAAGGAAAAAATGAACCACACTGTTGAATGTCTTCTATGTAAAAATAACTGGCCATGGGGCTTGCGCCAAGAACTGAACTGAATAAGAGAAATTATGTGATTTGGGATGATCATTTGGGGAAATTAATTTTTTTATTTTTTAAAGATTTATTTATTTATGTATTACAGAACTGGGGTACAGGCCAGAGGTGCAGGGGTGGTGAGAGGATTCACCAGAGACAGTGGGGTGCAGAACAGGTTAACTGATGAAGCACACTACTGAGGGGAGCCGTGGGCGGTCAGGAGAGGGCTGCCACGCCATGTGGATCACCAACGGGGTAGGCAAGGATCGAACTCATGCAGAAGTGGCTTTTGCTTCTTAGTGCAGAGCTTTAATCCACTGCGCCACCAGGGAGGGTCCCATTTGGGGAAATTTATAATAAGGAAAATTTCAGTGGAAAACCTGTGCCCAATTTTTGTGACACCAGACTGCACACTTATGCATCAATTGCCTAAAAAAGTCAACTTTACAGCAATGCTTAGTCTAAACTTCCCCATGGTTGGTGCGCATACAGTTTAGTTCCAAACTAAGAGGGAAAAATGAATAATATAGTGCCCAGTGCATGATTTGGATACAGAATTTGGGTGCTTTGCTGCCCACTATTTCCAGAGGGGAATAAGGTGTAGCTTACAAAACTATGGTAGAGACCAATGCGAAGTGTATTGAAGCCCATCCCCAGTGTCTGAGAAGACTGGAGAAGGAGAAAACCCTGAAATTTGGCAAACAGCTTAGATCCCAAAACACAAACCATGGTTATGGTGGTGCAGATTCCAAACAAAATCAAACACTTCTCAATTCACATCTATGTGTGAGAGAAGAGAAAAGCAACAGAAGGTTGAATACAGAGAATCAATAAGCTACAGCCCTCTGCTCATACATTACTTAACTATAATTTACTGGCATTCTACTAATGTATAATACAAAACTCTTGTGATTATATTAAATGATAAATGCGCTGCATGGTTTTTATTCTTTTAAGGGGAAATATTAAATATGGAATTGTGACATTTGATTTCCTCAAAATGTTGTCTTTTTGGTTTTCTCCTTCTCCCCCTTCTTTTGCTTGAAAAGTGAAAGAACATGAATTCCTCAGAATGCAGTTTTGCAAAAGGTAGCAAACACCACATGAAGTACTTCTATATCTATTATCAGATAAACCACACCAATAAACCGAAAACCCCAAATAGGCACATCTTGAAAACATTGGATTCAAATGAATGGAGATGCTCATAATATTTTTCCTTTGATCTTGTCTTTTTTTTAAACTAATATACACTTTAGTTTTTAGATCAGTTGTAGGTTTATAGAAAAACTGAGCAGAAAGTACAGAGAGTTCTCTGTAATCTCCCCCACACCTATCTCCACAGTTTCCCTGTTACTATCATTTTGCATTGGTGTGGTACTTCCATCTTAATTGATGAGTCAATATTGCTATATTATAATTAACTAAAGTCTATGGTTTGGGATTCACCCTCTGTATTGTGTTTTTCATGGATTTTGTCAAATGAATGGTATCATGCATCCACAAGTGCTTTATCATATAGAGTAGTTTCACTGCTTGAAAAATCCTGCTTTCCACCCATTCATCCCTCTTCACCTGTTCTCTTCTCCCTCTTTCCCCAGCTTTTAGGCAACCATGGACCTTTTTACTGTCTCTACCTTCTGCAAAATGTCATATAGCTGGAATCAGAGTCAGGCTGGATTCATCCACTTAGCAATAGGTATTTAAGATCCCTTTATGTCTTTATGTGACTTAATAGCTCATTTTTTCTCATTTCTTTTTATTGCTAAAAAAAATTCCATTGTATGCATGTATCAGTTTATCTGTTACCTATTGAAGGAAATCTGGGTAGCATGTAGGTTTTAGATATTATGAATAAATTTGTTATAAATGTCCATGTGCAGGTTTTTGTATAGAAATAAGTTTTTAACTTACTTGGGTAAATACCTTGGAGTGGGATTTCTCGATTATATGGTAAAAGTCTGTTTAGTTTTGTAAGATATTGCCAAATTGTCTTCCAAAGTGGCTGTACATTTTTCCATTCCTACCAGCAGTGAATTAGCTCTGTTGCTCCACATCATCATTAGCATTTAATACTGTCACTGTTAGGATTTTAGCCATTCTAATAGATGGGTAACAGTATCTAGTTGCTTTAATTTTCAACTTCCAAATTTATGATGTTGAATATCTTTTAGCATGTTTATTTGCCAGCCTTATATTTTCTATGGGGAAGTATCTGTTCAACTATTTTTTCCACTTTTTATTGTGTTGTGTGGATACAAATCTTTTATCAGATATGTGCCTTTTATGTAAAGAACTTCTATTCTTAGTTTACTGAGAATTTTTAATATGAATTGGTGATGGATTTTGTCAAATGCCTTTTCTGTATCTATTGATATGATCATGTGAGTTTTCTTCTGTAACCTGTTGATATGATGGATTATATTAATAGATTTTAGAATATAAGCTATGCCTAGGATAAATACCACTTGGTTGTGGTATAGAATTCTTTTTATACGTTGTTAAATTTGATTTTCTAATAACTCTGTTGAGGATTTTTGCATCTGTATTCATGACAGATACTGGTCTTTAGCTTTCCTTTCTTCTAAAGTACTTGTCTGGATTTGGTATTTGCTGACCTCAGCGAGTGAGTGAGGAAGTGTTCCCTCAGCTTCTATTTTCTAGAACAGATTGTAAAGATTTGGTATTATTTCTTCCTTAAATGTTTGGCATGAATCCCCAGTGAACCCATCTGTGCCCAGTGCTTTCTGCTCTGGAAAGTTATTGATTATTGATTCTATTTTAGAAATAGATACAAATCTATTAAAACTTTCTCTGAGTATTGGTAGATTATATATTTTAAGGAATTGGTCTATTGCATCTTATTAAATTATGGCCATAATTTATGGAAGAGAAGTCTGAGATGATGCTTGTCCTTGTTCTATAGGTGTTTTTTATTAATCCACTTTCTTTCAAGATTTTCTCTTTGTCTTTGATTTGTTTACAGTTTGAATATAATATGCCCGAGTGTAAATTTTTGGTATTTGCTCTGTTTGATATTGTTTGAACTTCCTGCATCTGTTGTTTGATGTCATTAATTTGGAAAAATCTTTGCCAGTATTGCTTAAAATATTTCTCTCATTCTTTTCTCTCTTTCTTCAACTTCTGGTATTCCCATTATGAATATTGTACACCTTATGTAATTGTCTACAATTCTTGGAAATTCTGTTCATTATTTGTTATTGCTTCTACTCTTTGCATTTCATTTTAGGAAGCTGCTATTGTCATATCTTCTAGTTCATTGATTGTTATCTGCCTAATCCCATCTATTGGTGAACCCATCAAAGGCAATATTTAGTTCTCTTTTTTTTTACTTTGTTTCTAGCAATTTCCTTTTGATTTTTTCTTAGAGTTTCTATTTACTGGCTTACATTACTCACCAGTTTTTGTATGTTGTTCACTTTTTTCATTAGATTCACTATCATATTAATCATAATTATTTTATTATTTTTTCATTGACACAACATTACATTATAAAATTATGTAAGTTTCACACAT